ACAAACATCAGCTGTACACGTGGACTTCACCAGCTGGAACACACAGGAATCAGAGTGACTACATCTGTGGCAAGAGACAATGGAAAAGCTCAATATCTTCAGCCAAAACCAGGCCAGGAGCTGATTGTGGAACAGACCAATCAACTGCTCATATGCAAATTCAACTTGAAGTTAAAGACAATTAAAACAAGTCTACAAGAGCCAAAATATGATCCTGAATATATCCCTCTTGAATTTAAAGAACATCTTAAGAATAGATTTCATGCACTGAACACCAGTGACCGAAAACCAGAATAATTGTGGGATGACATCAAGAACATCATCCATGAAGAAAGCAAGAGGTCACTAAAAAGACAACAAAAGAAGAGAAGACCAAAATGGATGACAGAAGAGACTCTGAAACTTGTCAGAGAGCAGAGAGTAGCTAAAGGAAATGGAAGAAATGACAAGATAAAAGAATTGGATAGAAGATTTCAAAGAGCAGCTCAAGAAGACAAAGCCAATTACTATAATGAAATGTGCAAAGACCTGAAGTTAGAAAACTAAAGGGGAAGAATACACTCAGCATTTCTCAAGCTGAAAGAATTGAAAAAATTTAAGCCTCAAGTTGCAATATTGAAAGATTCTACAGGCAAAATATTGAGTGATGCAGGAAACATCAAAAGAAGATGGAAGGAATACAAAGAGTCACTGTACCAAAAAGACCTGGTCGATCTTCATCCATTTCAGGAGGTGGCATATGATCTAGAATCAATGGTATTGAAGGAGGATTTCAAAGCTGTAATGAAGGAATTGGCAAAGAACAAGGCTCTGGGAATTGACAGAATACCCATTGAGATATTTCAACAAACAGATGCTGCACTGGAGGCACTCACTCGGTTATGCCAAGAGATTTGGAAGGCAGCTACCTGGCCAACCAACAGGAAGAGATCCATATTTGTACCCTTTCCAAAAAAAGGTGATCCCACAGAATGTGGAAATTATCGAACAATATCATTAATATCGCATGCAAGTAAGATCTTACTGAAGATAATTCAAAAACGGTTTTAGCAGTATATTGACAGAGAACTTCCAGAGGGGCAAGCTGGATTCAGAAGAGGACATAGATCAAGGGATATCACAGCTGCTGTCAGATGGATCTTGGCTCAAGGCAAAGAATACCAGAAAGATGTTTACTTGTGTTTTATTGACTATGCAAAGGCATTTGATTGTGTGGATC